TTTGGGTCTGCCGAGTCTGTCCAGCTTCCTCCCCCACCATCGGATCCAGCTCAGCACCAGGTGGTGATCAGTTGACAGCTCCGCCCTCTCTTCACTCGAGTGTCCAAGACATACGGCTGGAGGTCAGATGAAACAACCACAAAGTCGATCATCGACCTCCGGCCTAGGGTGTCCTGGTTCCATGTGCACTGATGGACACCCTTATGCTTGAACATGGTGTTCGTTATGGACAAACTGTGACTAGCACAGAAGTCCAATAACAAAACACCACTCGGGTTCAGATCGGGGGGGCCGTTCCTCCCAATCACGCCCCTCCAGGTGTCACTGTCGCTGCCCACGTGGGCGTTGAAGTCCCCTAGTAGAACAACAGAGTCCCCAGTCGGGGCCTTTTCCAGCACCCCTCCCAGGGACTCCAAGAAGGCCGGGTACTCCACACTGCCATTCGGCCCGTTGGCACAAATGGCAGTGAAAGACCTATCCCCGACCCAAAGGCGCGACTGTTGGGTTTTCCCTCTATAATAATAGTGATAACAGTAAGGTCTAGACCTTACTTTGTAAAGTGTCCTGAGATTACTTTTGTTGTGATTTGGCGCTATACAAATAAAATTTGATTGAATTTGTAAGTTATATTATAAGTAAGTTATGTTGTTTTCTTTACATTTAATAAAAACATGTAGTTGTCAGCAGACTGTCTCTTCAGTGTTTATTGTTAGATTATTTAGATAGTGTCTTTGTCCATTCCATGTGTGTGTTATTGGTTTGGCCAGCCAGTATATACGTTCCCCCATTTGTTAGGCCAGTTGCGTTTTGTTTGAGGTACTGTTCAGCTTGAAGTATTGAGTTTCCTTACCTTTTGTTGACCTCTTTTAGGGCTCAGTTTATTTGATATTGATGTTGTTTGTATTTTTTCCTTATTTTTGGGTTAATAAAAAGCCCGCCTTTATTAAACTTTAAAAGTTGTATCCTCTGCCTTATTGTTTGGTCCTTGACAATAAGGTTTGATAAAATAAGCAAGTTCCAGCACTTCTCAAAGTATTAGAATATAAGGCTACATTTCTTGTCCGTAGAATTAAGACAGATACATAATATTCCCTTATGCATTAAGTGTATCATTTCACAGGCTTCATATTCTATGACTTTTAGAAAAAGTAATAACATATCAGTCCACATACAGTAGGAATGTACAGTACAGCATCTGTATCTCCATCACTGTACTTCAATCTTCTGTCTGATGTTAATATATTAAACCGTTTAAATAATACATACTGATGATCCTTACCATTGACAGTTAGATGCACCCAGCTGCCATTATGGAAGGTGTCATACTGCTGTTCCAGCATCAGCACCTTACACTCATACCAGCCCTGGTCGTCTGAACGCACATTCTCTATCCGGAGGGAGGACTTGCCGTGCAGAGTGGCCCGGCCTGGCAGAGAGAGACACAGATGAGGTGTCAGGAGGAAGGGACACACAAAGGTGAGCATGACAAGTGGAGTGAATTTAAACAAGGAAATGAAGGCAAATGAAGAAGAGGTGAAAGGCAGATGAACCCAGAAGAGAGAGAAGAAAAATGCCAGATGAATGTTAAAGAGAGAATCAGCCTTTAAGCAGTTCAGATATAAATATGCAGGGATCACTGTGGTGTGTTAGTGTGGGGGTCTCTGGGTAACATCACAGGCCATAAGACCTGTTTCTAAACAGAGACACTGCAGCGCTGTTTATGTGCAACAGAACATCAAAGTAGGGTACCAAGTGCAGTTGCATGCACAGTGACATCTGTCACTTAAGCCTCAGTGCGGCTGAGATGTCTTCATCTCCATGTGTGGTGGCCTATTTTGGAGATGTACTGAAGCAAGGACAGGTCATTCCTTCCTTTGAGGAGTGGGAAGTGGTCAACGTGACGACAGAAAGCCCTCAGGGCTACATGCTAGGTGCAATCCATCACAACAGATATCAGCTTTTGAGTACTGAGTCAGGAATAGCTGTATTTTACTTTTACAGATCAAAAGCTGAAAGAGGGGGACTGATGATGTTTCTCTGGGCAATCTGGCAACGGGCTCATAACAGATGGCGGAGTGGCAATAAGGGCTAAACAAAGGGTTTTCAGGGAGCACACACACAGCTCAAAACGCCAGCATTATCAAAGCCTGACTGTTCCTCATTAATCTCCTCACTCTCCCCTATCTTCACCACTTTGTGGAGATTCTTGATTTCTCTGCAGCACAACACACCAGGCAAATATATGAGCTGCACTGGCAGCTGTCTCCGTGAGTTAAGGTTGATAGTCAAAGTGGTGTTTTGTGTCCTGATTATGCTATTTATACCGTATATCTGATTATATTTGTCCAGCCTCCAGCCATGTCTGACTCTCTCCTTGCTGACTGGAAGGAACTGAGGAAGAGACCTCATGCTGCTTACTCAGTGTGAACTTTGTATTAGTATGCTGTAGATATTATGTACGGACCCTTCACTATACACTACTGTGTTTTTATCATACAGTATCTGGCCTTTGTTTGAGACTAAACTGTTTATTGGGTTTTTTTTCTGGACTGATGCATTCAAGCATAAAAGTCTTGAACCAGAACTCATACAGTCAGTGAGTGTGTTTGTGTAAAAATAGGTTATTGCTCTCCTTTTCACTTAGTGAAAGCATACCCTGTGTAAGAAATTTTTAACAAGTAAAGAAAATTATTTCACACTTAACTGAGGACACTGTAAATATGAAGACACTGTATATTTAAGTAGGTTTGAAGAAGGGTTTTGTGCAAAGCTTTTACCTACATCTGTCTGATTATTTTACAAAAACATCTGTATTTCATTTAATTTCCTTCATCCATCAGAAGTTGTTCAGAATCATCTAGTCAGCTTCATGTTCTGTGCTAACCTGTTTATGTTCCTAGTATGTAATGTATATGTGAAAGTTTAGCTACTTACAAAATATTCAATATATACCGTATATAACATTAAAATGACTGCCGTCTACTGTAGATCCCAGGAAGAATAGCAACCACTGCTGTGGAAACCAATGGGGATCCAGATAAATAAAAAATCAACCAGGGTGTCAGGCTTTGAAATCAGAACAGGAGGTAAAGACACAGTAACACATGGGCATGTGCATCAGTTACTTCATCATTTGTCCCAGTCTGCACAACACATCTAGCAAAAACTGGTGAAAAGTTATTGAGGATGAGCCTTCTGAAATGTTTGAATATCAAAGATAAAAATATCTATACCTTTAGAGATTTTAGCCCAGAGTCTTTTTCTTTACACTTTGGCAAATCTCTCATAGAAGATGCTGCTGCCTTTGCTGCACACAGTTCCTGTTCACCCTGCAGTCAGTCGCTGCTGATTATGAGATCTGAAGTCACCAGGAACACCTTTTGTGTTATTTTTAAACAGATTTATGGATATTTATCTTTGTTAATCACAAATCCACCACTGTGCAGAGGGATGTTGGTGTTTCAACTTAACTCTGAGAAGAAGTGGTGCAATGATTGTGGCAAGATGTATCAATCACTGGGAAAGAAAATAAGACCATTATCTGGTCATACCAAAAAGTATGGCACAAGGACAGTTTCTTCCCCACTCTGATGAACAAGTGTTCATCCCACGACAATATGACTGGACAACAACCCTCAGTGCAATGCCTGTAAATAGACATTGTACAGATTATACAGATCCGTACAGGTCTCTATTTTAAGTACTCTATTTTTATTCCTATTTATCTCATTTCACAATGAGCATTCCTTTGTCTCTCTGCATTGTTTACTGCCTGGTTATAGTGTTTATTTTGCACTGTTTGCACTGTTTGCTGCTTGTTAATACTGCTTATTTGTTAGAGTACCTACCTACCTAGTACACAGCCTTATGGTGGTTAACTGTACTTGCCCCTTGCTGTTGCCTTGCATTATGAGAGATACGTAGGTCAAGGTGGAAAGGCATTTGTTCTTGTCAGGCAAAGCTATTTTGGTTACAGCATGTGCACTCACATGACTTCATTTCTGTATAAAATGTCTGCCAACCACAGGGATGACAAAAAGTCATTATGGATAATGAAAAACAGATGGTTGACAATTTGGGGATACAAACTCAGTATAAAACATTATTTTCAGAGGCGCCTACTTCAAATATTTATGTTTAGAAGTATTTACATAATCGCCAACATTATTTTTGGAATCACAGCTAAAACTGAGGAAATTATAATGTGCAGAATAAAGATGAGGCAAATAGGTATGCTATTTTAAATTCTCTTTACTTTGCCTTCTATGATCAAATCTTAGTCTTTTATGACAAAAACTCTCTGGTGTTGATTCAAAATCCTATGATGTTTTACAAGTTACACATTTTAGTCTTGCTTTCACATCAGTAAGTTTTCATTTGCCTGACTGCCTGTGCTTATGTGAAATGATACTGTCAGGGAGAAGTTTTAAAGTAAACACAGACTGGAAAAAAGCAGCAGCATTATCACGGCTGATCAACTGTTTACATTGTGAGACATCAACTGATTATAAAGTAGGTATATCAAAGCAGCTGTTTTAAAATATAGCAGATTAACCAGATTAGATTAAAAGACCATTAAAAAACCAAATCCACCAAAGTGTTAGATCATCTCTCAATACTTTGACTTCAT